CTTGGCCTGCTGTGTTCATCCAGCTCTGCACCTTGTTACCTTGTAACATTCTCTGTTCAAGAACCTGTTGTAACATTTTCAATTGCAGCTCATAGTTGAAGACCCCCATCCATTACAGCATCCTGAGAAATCTTGACTGGATGTGTTCTCAGGCCTTTCTTGAAATGTGAGGCACAGAAATGCCTACAATGCTGCAAGTGAGGCATAACTAATGATGTAGAAAAATGAAAAGAAATTTGGGAGTGGTACCCTGAGGAGAAACAAAGTCTACACACATTTTCAAAAAGTAAGAATTACCTTATATTGCTATTGTCTTTGTGCTCCGGTTCAATCTTTTCTTCATAATGCTCATCTTCCGCATCCTCCAGACTGTCATAGAGATTCCATCCATCCTCCTCCCCATTATCTGTATCAAATTCAGTGTCTTCTAAAGTTACCATGTCTTCATTGTCCTGAATGCGATTCTGCAGTTCCAGTTGATATTGCCTCTCTTGAATTAAGCTGTCAGAATCAGACTCCAATGAGTCATATAAATTTAAGTGAAAATCCTCTCCTTCCTGTGGAAATGGCCCTTCAGGTGCCTCTTTCAGTTGGGTGCGAGCTCCTGGGTTAAGCAACTTCGTACTCTGTGTAGAATTTCTATTTTTCTCCATTGTCTCCATTCAAGATGTTAGAAAGATCTTAATGATTATTCATTGTGCAGGTGAAGTGCCAGTTCACATGTGAAAACTATATATGATGTCTTGTATAAAGTAGAACTTTTGTGACTTCATTGAATACACAGAAAATTCATGATCTGCATGACATCACAGTCATACAGTTTAATTGTACTTATACATTTTTGTTCAAAAGCTAAAAAGGAAAAAAAGAGTATTAAAAATCATGGAAAAGAAAGAATGCAAGTTTTATACTTATTTAATGTACTAGAAACTATTTTAATTAAACATTTTGCCAAACTTGACTTGGATAACTTAGATTGGATAACTTTAAATTTCAGCGTGTTTCTCCATTTTGGACACAAGTAATCTACAGTCCACATACAATGCCTTTTTTCATAATAAATAGCAGTATAAAATTAACAAGCATAAAACACATGACATTAATTTTTTCAATTGTACAGTCCAGTCTCTATAAATCCTGATGAAGTTTAAACCTGAAATGTTATTTTTTCTGTTCTCTCCTTAGTTAACAACAAATGTATTGAATGTATTAAATGTTCATGTTTTTATGTCAACCATAACAGCTTCGCTTTCAGTTCTTTGATTTTCATCATATCCATAAATGTACTGAGAACTGATTCTGTTGTTCATGAGATGTAATGGAATCTAAAAACAATCTCTGTATAGAATGAAATATATTAGAATCCAATGACCAAATTCTACTTCTCATCACTACTTTATGGGGAAAACTTTCTGTACAAAGTGAAAGATGCAACCAGTGGACATCTTCTCTACACTTTATATCCAATACTAATTGCTCAAGTTAGGACTACAGTCCTAACAATGTATCTTAACATCAAGCTTAAAAACATGCCAATCATCAGTGCGCCAGTGCTACATTATTTTTCTTAAATGAGTCACTCTTATAGTCTCTGAATAAGATTGACAATTTAATAATAATTCTTCCCAAAACATGGAGGAATTATTGCCATTAGGAACTGAGTCAAAGCAATCCAAAACTCTGAGTTTTGAAGAAGAGTCATATTAGACTCAAAATGTTAATTCTTTTTCTCTCTGCATAGATTCTGCCAATTCTGCTGAGCTTTCCAGCATTTCCTTTTGTCTTCCAAAATTCTTAGGGCTGTCGAGAGAGGTTTTCAATTTCACCGCAGATTTAAGTCCAGGTCTTAACCTCATTTCCTCAAGCTTGCATCTTTGCAAATTGCACAAATTATGCCAGTCCCTATGTAGTGTTACATTCTTTGGTTAAGTTCAAAATTATATTTCATTATAAATTGCTTCTTCACTAACGTAACTGAAATCAGGAACTTGATACTTGGGAATCAAAGGCACAAGCCCACAACCTATATCTGCATTAGCTCGAACAGTTCATCCACTTCACCAACACCTTCCACCCCAACCTTAAGTTCACCTGGACCATCTCTAATACCTCTCTCTCCTTCCTGGACCTCTCTGTTTCCATCTCTGGCAACCACCAAGAAACCGATATCCATTTCAAGCCCACCGACTCCCACAGCTACCTAGAATACACCTCCTCCCACCTACCTTCCTGCAAAAATGCCATCCCCCATTCCCAATTCCTTCGCCTCCGCCGCATTCGCTCCCAGGATGAGGCATTCCGCTCCCGTACATCTCAGATGTCCTCGTTTTTCAAGGACCGCAACTTCCCCCCCTCAGTGGTCGAGAATGCCCTCGACCGTGTCTCCCGCATTTCACGCAACTCATCCCTCACACCCCCTCCCCGCAATAACAACCAAAACAGAATCCCCCTCGTCCTCACGTACTATCCCACCAACCTCCGGATCCAAAGCATCATCCTCCAACACTTCCGCCATCTGCAATCCGATCCCACCACCAAAGACATTTTTCCCTCCCCACCCTTATCTGCTTTCCGGAGGGACCACTCTCTCCATGACTCCCTTGTCCGCTCCACACTCCCCTCCAGCCCCACCACACCCGGCATTTTTCCCTGCAACTGCAGGGAGTGCTACACCTGCCCCTACATCTCCTCCCCTCACCCCCATCCCAGGCCCCAAGAAGACTTTCCACATCAAGCAGATGTTCACCTGCACATCTGCTAATGTGGTATACTGCACCCGCTGTTCCCGTTGTGGCCTCCTCTACATCGGGGAAACAAGTGGAGGCTTGGGGACCGCTTTGCAGAACACCTATGCTCGGTTCGCAACAAACAACTGCACCTCCCAGTCGCGAACCATTTCAACTCCCCCTCCCATTCCTCAGACGACATGTCCATCCTGGGCCTCCTGCAGTGCCACAATGATGCCACCCAAAGGTTGCAGGAACAGCAACTCATATTCCGCTTGGGAACCTGCAGCCCAATGGTATCAATGTGGACTTCACAAGCTTCAAAATCTCCCCTCCCCCTACCGCATCCCAAAACCAGCCCAGCTCGTCCCCGCCTCCCTAACCTGTCCTTCTTCCCACCTATCCCCTCCTCCCACCTCAAGCCCCATCCCCATCTCCTACCTACCAACCTCATCCCACCCCCTTGACCTGTCCGTCCTCCCTGGACTGACCTATCTCCTCCCTAACTCCCCACCTACACTCACCTTTACTGGCTCCATCCCCGCCTCTTTGACCTGTCTGTCTCCTCTCCACCTATCTTCTCCTCTATCCATCTTCTATCCGTCTCCCCCTCTCTCCCTATTTATTTCAGAACCTCCTTCCCCTCCCCCATTTCTGAAGAAGGGTCTAGGCCCGAAACGTCAGCCTTCCTGCTCCTATGATGCTGCTTGGCCTGCTGTGTTCATCCAGCTCTACACCTTGTTATCTCTATATCTGCATTAAGTAGCTTACACCCCTACTGTTGAAACAACTCTCAGCAATACAGGGAGATAATGATTACCAGGTCAGAAACTTGCACTTCTTAGTTAATTAAACTCCCCCAATAAATAAATAGTTCCAGACTCTGAATATTGCCTGGCACTCAGTGAGGTATCTACATATAATAAAAGTGGAATGATACTCGCCATTATGTAAAGAGATTCTATAAGTACATTAAGGACAAAAGAGTAACTAGGGAGAGAATAGGGCCCCTTAAAGATCAGTGTAGCTGTCTATGTGTGGAACTACAGGAGATGGGTGAGATACTAAATTAATATCTCACATTAGTATTCGCTGTGGAGAAGGTCATGGAAGCTAGCGTATTTGGGGAAATAAATAGTGATGTCTTGAAAAGTGTTCATTTTACAGAAGAGGAGGTGCTGGAGGTCTTAACACATATAAAGGTAGATAAATCCGCTGACTTGATCAGGTGTTTCCCAGAATTTTGTGGGAAGCTAGGGAAGAGATTGCTGGGTCCCTTGTTTACTTGTATCATCAACAGCCACGGGTGAGGTGTCAGAAGACTGGAGGTTGGCTAACGTGGTGCCACTATTTAAGATAGGCTGTAAGGAAAAGCCAGGGAACTACAGACCCGTGAGCCTTACATCAGTAGGGCGTAGGTTATTGAAGGGGATTCTGAGGGGCAGGAATTACATGCATTTGGAAAGGCAAGTACTGATTAGGGATAGTCGACATGGCTTTATGCATGGGACATCATTTCTCACTTACTTGATCGAGTTTTTTGAAGAGCTGGCAAAGAGGCTGATGACGGCAGAGTGGTAGATGTTTTCAATATGGACTTCAGGAAAGTGTTTGATGAGGTTCTGCATGGTAGACTGGTTAGCAAGATTAGATCACATGGAAACCAGGGGAAGCTAGCCAACTAGATACAAAATTTGTTTGAAGATGGGAGACAGAGGGTGGTGGTAGTGGGTTGTTATTCGGACTGGAGCCCTGTGACCAGCGGTGTGCCACAAGGATCGGAGCTGGGTTCACTGCTTTTCATCATTTATATAAATAATTTGGATGTGAATATAGGAGGTATGGTCAGGAAGTTTGCAGATGATGCCAAAATATATGGTGTAATTGACAGGGAAGAAGGTTATCTCGGAGTACATTGTGACCTACCACAAATGGGCCAATGGGCTGAGGAGTAGCAGATGGAGTTCAATTTAGATAAATGTGAGGGGTTGCATTTTGGTAAGGCAAACCAGGGCAGGACTTATATAGTTAATGGGAGGACCCTGGAGAATGTTGCTGAACAAAGAGACCTAGTGGGCAGATGCATAATTCCTTGAAACTGGAGTTACAGGTAGACAGATTGGTGAAGAAGGTGTTTGGCACACTTGCCTTCATTAGTCAGTACATTGAGTATAGGAGTTGTGATGTCATGCCACCGTTGTACAGGACATTAGTGAGGCCACTTTTAGAATACTGCAAACAATTCTGGTCACCCTTCTATAGGAAAGATGTAGTTAAACTTGAGACGGTGCAGTAAAGATTTACAAGGATGTTGCCAGGACTGGAGGGTTTGAGTTATGAAGAAAGGCTGAGTGGGCTGGGGCTTTTTTTTCCCTGGAGCATTGGTGGTTTAGGGGTGACCTTAAAGAGGTTTATAAAATCTTGAGGGGCATGAATAGGGTGAATAGCCAAGGTCTTTTTCCGATGGTGGGAGAGCCCATAAACAGATGGCATAGGTTTAAGACAAGAGGGGAAAGATTCAAAAAGGACATGAGGGGTAACTTTTTCACACAAAGGGTGCACATATGGAATGAGCTGCCAGAAGAAATAGTGGAGGCGGGTACAACTACATCATTTAAAAGGCATGGGTATATGAATAGGAAGGGTTTAGGGGGATACAGGCCAAAAGTTGGCAAATGGGACTAGGTCAGATTGGAACGTCTGGTCAGCATAGACAAACTGGGCTAAAGGGTGTGTTTCCGTGCTCTACGACTCCATAACTTCAGTTAATTCTCCTGGTCAGGCGAAAAAAAGTATTGTCGTCACACAAAAAAGCCCCAAAGCGCCATCTGCTGGATGTAAGGCATTGAATGAAATGGATTGTTATTGTGGTGTTACGCATGTAAGAAATTAGCTAAGTGAGTTAATACAATAGACATTGAGGAGAAAACAAACTTAAAAAGAAAACAAACCATATTTGCAAAGTAAACAGCACAAAATATAAAAAAAATTCCAAGAAGAAAATTTTCTATTTATAGTCGTCAATCATACTTCGGAAGACTTTGTTAACTAATATGTTTTAACATTACGATACATTGTTTGCACAAGTTCCTGTTTACTCTTGTTAACTATCATACAGCAAAGTAGCAATGTTCCACTGTCACCTTATTCCTGAGAAAACGGACTAAGCTGGATCGGTTTCTGACCTTAGTTTATTAAATTCACAAATCAGTCCCAGCTATAATTGCCCTCATCATCCTTTTCTATTTAACTGCAGCCTTCGATTCAATCATCTACACCACCTCTTTCATCCTCTAACTGAATGAAGCCATTTTTGTCTGGTTTCATTCTCATCCATTGAATCATTGTCAAATATTTTACTGTGACAACTTCTCTTCCCTCATTGTCGACCCTGGAGTTCTTTAAGGATCTAATCTTGTCTCGATGATTATTCACGTCTGCATGTGATCCCCCGTGTAGTGCCATCCAAAAAGTAAATTCCCCATATACACTTGTAACACCCAGATTTATCTTGCCCCCACCTCTCTTCATTATGCTCCTTCTTCAATATCCAGGTCGGGATAAGCCAAAAGGTTTTCCAAATAAACATTGGGAAAACAAAAGGCATTGCCTTTGACTCCCAGGAGAAACACCAAAAATTCATCCAGGGCTGGCAAAAAAGTGGGAAGTGTTAGACTTTAATGATGACAAAATACCAGGCAGCTATCCCAAACAACAGTTGTTTGTAAGGTACAGTGATATGTGTAGATTTAGGATTATTGAGCTGGCCACTCAAGGCTTCACCTGATCCCCTTCTATGGAGCTGTCGCCCTTTGAATTGTCCTGAGCCAGAGCAGAACCTGGGACGGCGCAGGCGCAGTGCTGCAGTCAGTTGGAGGATCAGTGGGAGAGTTTGAGAAAAACGTCACCGCCGCCCGGGAGCTGCGTTTTTCAATATTACCACATTTCAGGACCCGTTGGATCGCTGTCATTGACTGATTGACCGAGTAGCTCATATATAAGGCATTAGATCTCCAGTTGCTACGGGCTATGTGAGCACACAAACTCACCAACACGGACACACCGGCCGAGCCGATACAACGTCGTCGCCACGGCAACGACGCTGCTAACGTCATCGCGTAACTGGCGCGTCATTGCGTGCTATCGCCAGGAGCAGGAAGAATGTAACTGGTTAGATCACGTGCTCAGCATTCCCTGTGTTGGTTTTTGGAGTGTACAATTCAAACTTACAAATAAATCATTTGTTTTGTGTTCTCGCTATCTATTGATAGCTGGATCTGAAATCAGTGTATGGTTTTGTGGCAGTTATATCTGGTTTCTCTTACAAATAATTATTCAAGCTTTATGGCCTCTTATGTGCATTTGTGGTGTCCCTAGCTCTGGGCCAGGAGGGTACAAGTCCCACCTACATCAGAGATGCTTCACAACATCTCTGAACAGGTTGATTAGAAAATATGAGCTAGTAGCTGGGGTCTTGTGGTGCAGCGGCAGTGACCCAACCTGTGGCCTCAAAAGTATCAGTTCAAAACTTAGAGATAACAAGGTGTAGAGCTGGATGAACACAGTAGGCCAGGTAGCATCAGAGGAGCAGGAAAGCTGACATTTCACGTCTACACCGTTCAAGACTCCCCTGCTTTAGTGGTGCAGAACAGGTTGATTTGAAATAACTCAACTCAGGAAAGCTTGTCAGTTTAAGGCACTAAGCTAACAAGGTGTAGAGCTGGATGAACACAGCAGGCCAAGCAGCATCAGAGGAGCAGGAAGGCTGATGTTTCCGGCCTAGACCCTTCTTCAGAAATGGGAGAGGGGAAGGGGGTTCTGAAATAAATAGGGAGAGAGGGGGAGGCAGATTGAAGATGGATAGAGGAGAAGATAGGTGGAGGTGAGATAAGGGTTCAAGTCCCGTCTGAACAGGTCAATTACAAATAAGTCCTTTACTTTCCCTCAATAAAAATTTGTATTTACATTATTCCATTTATATTGGAGTTTTTAAAAAAAAAGTATGTTTACTTAGATATTCTTAGTCAACCTGTTTAGATGTGTTATAATACTACCCTCAAACAGTTGGAATTGAACCTGTGCCTTCTTCCTCAGATAAAGGGATACTACCACAGCATATATTTAAACCAAACAGTGGTAGAGGGAGGTAATGCTAAATTGGAGGGAATGAGAAAATTTGTTTCAGTCGTGGCTCGACATAGGCAGTATTGTAATGGGACAGCCACTCTACACAGTGCCTGACATTCAGTTATAGAGTCATAAAGTCAGAAAGCATGGAAACAGACCCTTTGGTCCTACTAGTCCATGCTGATCATGTTCCTAAACTAAACTAGTCCCAGCTGCCTGTGCTTGGCAAATATTCCTCCAAACCTTTACTATTCATGAACTTTTCCAAATGTCTTTTAAACGTTGTAACTGTACCTGCATCCACCACTTTGTCTAACACTTCATGCCACACATGAACCACTGTGTAAAAAAAGTTGCCCCTCATGATCTTTTTAAATCTTTCTCCTCTGACCTTAAAAATATGTCTCCTAGTTTTGAACTCTCCACTTTAGGATTCACCCTTGTCATTTAGTTCTATACCTTGGATGGCTGGTTTGTAATGCAGAGTGATGGCAACTGTGTGGGTTCAATTCCTGCACTGGCTGAGGTCACTATGAAGGAACCTCCTTCTCAACCCATCTCCTTGTCTAAGATGTGGTGACCCTTGGGTTAAATAGCTCTAGGGAGAAAGAGCTGTGTAGGATTACGACAATTTTTCTTTTCTGTTGTCACCCCTTTCTATCCACCCATTGCCTCTCAGGCGACGTATGCTCCAGATATATATTGGAATTGTTTTGCTTACCATTGAGGAGAAGTGCATTGAATCATGTTGAGTCGGAATGAAGGAAATTTGCTAATCTTATTTTAAAGGACACATTTACGAACACATTCTCAGTAGTTTTGACTTGGAATATTAACTCTGTTCCTTACCACAGATGCTGTTTGATCTGCTGAGTATTTCTGTTTTTAATATCATATTTCTGGCATCTCTAATGTCTTGCTCTTGTTTTCTCAAATATCAAACCAATAGGCCTAAACACACAAAAAGGATTTACTTTCTATTGCAGAATATATTGATGAACAAACAGACAAAGAAACAGTGCAAGACAGAGAGGATTCGACTGTGGGAACTCAAAGGAATCTTAATGCTGAAGTCACAAGATGAAAAGAATGTCTTGTTGGATATAGCTAATGCAACTGAAGAAAAGATGTATCTAAGACAACAAAGTAAATCAGTAGTATCAGGTCAAAAGATTTTGAAAGCGAACCAGAGAGCGCATCATTACAACCAAGAAAGGTTGGAGCAAAACCACCAAACTGCTTGTGCACCATCTTTCTATAAAAATACTTTAAAGATCATGCGAGCTATGCATTCAATAAGTGGACAAAGTGAGACTATCTGAAATAACAAACAGATGCTAATGTGTGAGAAGAGTACTTGTATATAGTTGGAATTTGGGTAACTAAAATATACATGATGTACATAAAATATACATATTCTTACTTTTTCTCTTTTTTTTGTATAAAAGGGGAATATCACACTCTGCTG